TAAGACAGGAAAGGGTGGGAAAGGATGGGGGCCGGTGGGTGGGGCAATGATATTTGCCGGTTCTCCGAACTGGTCAAAATTTCCATTACTGGTACGTCAGAACCGGTCCGAAGTGGCTGAATACCACCTCTGCACCTTCCTCACTTCTGGCACAGCACATAAATTCAATTAATGGTATTTCCATTTTCTCTTCTTCCCCTGCAGGAAATGAAGCCACAGGAGAGTTGCTCCAGATGACCTCCCTGGAATGAAGATGTCCTCCTTAGACCCCCTGCCTCCCGCCACGCCTCCCTCTCAGAAACCCACTCGCATTATCAAGCCACGCCCGCCCACCAGGCCACGTCCTTACCTGCCCCCCAGGCCAGACTCCGCCAAGCTGCTCCAGGTCCCTACCCCTCCTTTGCCTCTGGAGAAGGGCGGGTGCTCTCTGGCCACTGAACACTCAGGCGGCCCACCTCAACCCTTACACAAGCTGCAGAAATCTGGCGCTGTTCGCAAGATCGTGGTCCATTTTGATCAAACAGGTCCTCCGGAAAAGGAGGAAGCTGAAAAAATTATCCGGTCACTGCCTTCCAGCTGCCAAAAGGATGAGAACAAGGAAGAGAAAGCCATTGGAGGAAAAGAGATCCCGGATCGGTTGGGTAAGTGGGCCAGCTTTGGATTAAAGAAAGTAGAATTTACTATGATCCTTTGGATGGCACCATTCATTTTTTGGAATTAGATTCCTCCTAGATCTGGCGCAAAGTCATGCAGACAGCTTTCACGCCTAAGGCAGGATTAGAACTCAGAACTCTCCACAATCTAGTCCAGCACTGTGAGACACGCTTGCTGGGCAGATCTTGGGCATCCTTGAATCTGGAGTCCATCTTGGAGCAGAGTAGATTTCAATGCCGTGCCATTACAATCCTAAAAAAAAATTAAGTCAATAGGTGGAGAAAAATCACATACCTCAATTGGAATGCCAATCCTGGAAATACAGGTAATCCTCAATTTACAACAGTTCACTTAGTGACTGTTCAAAGTTGCAACGTCCCTGGAAAAAATGACTTAGGGCCATTTTTCACACTTATGATCATTACAGCACCTCTATGGTCATGTGATTTATATTCGGATGGTTACCACCGGTTCATATTTATGACGGTTGCAGTAACCATGTGATCCCTTTTTGTAGACTGACAAGTAAAGCCAATGGGAAAGCCCGATTCACTTAACAACCGTGTTTACTAACTGTAGTGATTCACTTAACAAATGTGGCCAAAAAGTCATAAAATGGGGCAAAACTCACTTAACAAATTCATCACTTAGCAACATAAATGTTGGGCTCCATAGTGGCCGGGAGTCAAGGACCACCTGTGAATGCCTTTAAAAAAAATGTGAGTCCAGTGATTGGCAAATAAGGGCTCAGCATTAACTCCATCTTCACCATCCCCGACAGTTTGCAAGGCCCCCAAAGTGTTCGGTTCTGTCTGCTTTGGGTTTCCGTCAGTGAAGCAGAAATAAACAGCCATTTCTGGGCCTTTATCCTGGTTCCATCAAGGCTAGAAGCGTAACATGGCAGATACAACAACTGGAATTTGGTGGTCACTGAAATCTGTGAACCGTGGATGTCGTGAAATGCTTTCCTGTCCTGTGTTCTTCCCTGCCATGAACCAGAAGTTTTCTTCCCCTTTTCTTCCCCGTCATTCAATAGACAGTGTCATCTAATGGTTAAGGCACCAGGCTAGAAAGCCAAGAGATTGTGAGTTCAGGTCCCACCTTAGCCATGAAAGCCAGCTGGGTATCCTTAGGTCAATCACTAGGAAACTGTGAGTTCTAGTCCCACCCTATGCACAAAAGCCGGCTGGGTGACCTTGGACCGACCACCAGGAGGCTGAGAGCTCTAATCCTGCCTTAGGTATGTATGAAAGTTGGCAGGGTGATTTTGAGCCAATCACCAAGAGTTTGTGAGTTCTAGTCCCACTCTAGGCACAAAAGCCAGCTGGGTAACTTTGGGCTAGTTCGGTCTTTGTTTTAGCCCAACTCACCTCACAGGGTTGTTGTTGTGGGGAAAATAGGAGGAGGTTGTGTTGGATACATTTGAGTTATTTGTAAAAGCAGTAAAAGTGGGGTATAAATAAACAAATAAAATGAATAAAAATTATCTCTCTTCCTCTACTTCCTCAGATCCTTGCAAGGATACCCAGCCATCGGTATTATCTGAGGTGGAGCAAAACGGACTGGATTTTCCCACTTCCTGCCTGTCTGGCTGCCCCTGTGTTTGCCATCAACAGAACCCGGGCATGGTCTTGATTTGGGTCCCTGCAACGTCCCAGCTGCAGGATACGGAGAACGGGCTGGCTGCCGATCTATCGTCTGCTGATGAAGGGGGAGCCTCCTTCCAAAAATCCCCGGGACTTGGTGCCCTGCCTACCCCACCTTCCTCCACCGCAGCGGGCAGGGTCCCAAAATCTCGCCGCTCATCCCGAAGCAAAAAGCCCCTGGACTCCCCGCCGTCCACCAACGGGCACCCCGAAGGGGGTGTCGTCCTGACAAGCTACCGTTCCACAGCCGAGCCCCTTCCTCTACGCTGCCCACCTTTGATGCCCAAACCGCCCCGTCGCAACAAAGGGGGTGCCTCTGTCTCTCTGGATGGCGAGCTCCTCCCTCCGGCCATCCCACCCAAAGCCCCCATGAAACCACCTCGCAGCTCCTTGGGGCCCTCGGCTCGCAGGAGTTCCCTCCAATACCCGCTTGAGTTGAACCACCTTCCTGGCCGAGTCTCCCCTTTTGCTGTTGGGGAAGGCTTCGTCATGTTGCCTCCCCCCCCCCCCCCCCCCCCCCCCCCCCCCCCCCCCCCC